GCCCGCGGGGCGGGGAGCCCCACCGCGCTCCTCCGAGCGCTTTTGTTCCGCGGTCGCAGCTGCCCAGGGAGCTTGTGCTTCTGCTCGAGCGCAGGTCGCGCTGGGCCGAGCTCGCAGAGGTGTAGCGTCCTCTCCGCGGTCCAGAGCCGGCACTTTGGAACGCTGATCCCCGTAGACATCGCGTTGCAGTGCCTGGTGCGGAAGGTGTATTTGTAGCTCTGGGACAGATCGATGCAGCGATACTCTTAAGTTCGTGTTTACCTTAAGCTTCCTTCTTGTCAGATCTGGGAGGACCTCAGTGCTGCTTTCGGGATGTGTATTAAAAAGCAAACTTTGGCCCTTTAGTGGAATTAATAAATTTGAAGATAGCAAGAGTGTGACTGTCGTACCTTTGTAGGTGGCAATCAGCGAGAACTTGCTCGCCAGAAGAATATGAAGAAAACCCAGGAAATCAGCAAGGGAAAAAGAAAAGAGGATAGCTTAACTACTTCTCAGAGAAAGCAGAGGTGAGCGGTACTAATAGAGATCTCGAGTCACTGAAGAAAGCAATTTATTAAACACAGAAAGGGGAAACCGTAATGAATACCTTTTGTGTGACAGGCATATAAACACCATATGGAGTCTTCATCCTAACCTGGGGATGAAGAATTTAATGCTCTGCGACTGTCATTTATTTCACAGGAACTCTCTCGCAGCACCTCCACGCTGTAAGAATTTTATTGAGCAAAATAATAAAACATTTTCCCAACGTAAAGGACTATTAGATGCTAAGAATACGTTTTCAAAGCAGACAGTCTGCCCAAACCAGTCTGGGTGACAAATGACTGAATTATAGTGGTAACTACTCCTCAGGAGAGAACAAAAAGTCTGTGTAGCTATATTGACATCTAAACATCCATTATAGCTGGGCATGGTGGTGTATGCTACCAACACTTGGGAGGCTGAGGCAGAAGCATCACTGTGAGTTTGAAGCCCACTTGGGCTACAGAGTGCGTTCAAGGCTAGCCTGAATTACACAGGAAAACCCTGTTTCAAAAAATAAAAATAAAGATCCATTATGTAGGAAGATGCATGTGTTCCGCCTTACTGTAGGACCTTACCTGGATATGGCTCAGTCATAGAGCACCTGCTTAATGTATAAGGCATTGTGTAACTACAGAAGACCTTGTGTAGCAAATAATACGAACTTTCACATGCATATTTTCATGAGGGCCTGGGGATATAGCTCAGTGGCACAGCACCTGCCTGGCAAGCACAAGGTGCTGAGATTAATTCCCAGTACCCCCCCAAAAAAAATTTTTTTTCATGAGCCTACAGCTTGAGGTTTAAAAAAAGTATTCATGTTTGTAGAAAAGAAACAAAAAACAAAAATAAAAAACAACCTAAAATGAATTTTAGTCTTTTTTTTTTTTTTTTTTTTGGTATTATGTTCAAAGTGAAGGCCTCTGCACTTATGTCTACCACAATAGAACTATACCCCAGCCCCGAATTCTCTCATCACATTTTATCATCCGTGTGGAACTTC